AAAATCTTGCTGCATAGTAGGGAAAGTTCTTATAATTCATCCTTCCTCAAGAGTGTTTAATTTTTCTTGTACTTTTCAGGCCCATACATTTTTAAAGAAAAAGTTTGAAAAGTTTCACATAAAAAGGGGCAGGGCATGTTTTGATTGGCATTACACTGACTATATACCAGGTTGGGGGGAGAAATAACATCTTTACTATTGATTTTGCCAATCCCTGAACGTGTAATATTTTTCAATTTAATTAGCTTTTTTTTCAAGTTTTCATAATTTTCTCTATAAAAGTCCTGTCCGTTTCTTGTTAGATTCAATTCCTCAAGTATGCATTTCATACGCTTTCAAGCACAGAGGTTGATGTGGGGCTCGAACTCATGGACCTGAGTTCAGACGCCCAACCGACTGAGCCACCCAGATGCCCCTTTCTTTCTTTTTTTAATGTTTATTTTTGAGAGAGACAGAATGTGAGCGGGGTAGAGGTAGAGAAAGAGACAGACAGACAGACAGACAGACAGAATCTGAGGTAGGCTCCAGACTGAGCTGTCAGCACAGAGCCTGACACGGGGGTCAAACTCATAAACTGTGAGATCATGACCTGAGCTGAAGTCAGAAGCTTAACTGACTGAGGCACCCAGGCGCCCCTCAAGAGGAATGTTTTTAGAAGAGGTAGTGGGCAGAATTATTAGTGACCAGAAAAAGATATGTCCAAGTCCTGACATGCCTACCTGTGAAATGTAACTACTTAGAAATCAGGTCTTTACACATATAATTAAAGCTCTCAACATGAGATCATCCTGTTTTTAGGGTGGGCCCTAAATCTAATGACTAGTGTCTTTATAAGAGACAGAAAAGGAGAAGATACAGAGACACACAGAGGGGAAGAACACTATGAAGACCCAGGCAGAGATGGGAGTGATGTGTCTACAAGCCAGGAAGCACCAAGAATTGCTAGAAGCCACCAGAAGCTAGAAGCCACCAGAAGAGAGGCATGGAGAGAGAGAGCTCCTAGAAGGAACCAAAACTGCCAACACCTTGATTTCAGACTCTGGCCTCCAAAACTCTGAGAGAAACTTACACAGAAAATAACATAGGAAACCCGCTTAGTGACGGAGCAATTCGAAAAAATTTCTTAAACAAGTTACAAAAAGCCCTGGCCACTAAAGAAAAGATTGATATATTCCTCTATGTTGAAATCATCATCTTCTGGGCCAGGAGGCCCTGCAGCGGCCAGTCAGCTAGGTTTCGAGAAGCCTCTCTGCCTGCCCAGCCCACCCTCAGGATGCCCAAAAGGAAGGCCAGCTCTGCCAAGGGGGCTGCGAAGGAGGAGTCCAAGAGGAGATGGGGGGAGGTTGTTAGCCAAACCTGCTCCTGCAAAGATGGAAATGAAGCCAAAAAAGGGGGCAGGAAGGGATAAATCTTCAGACAAAAAAAGTGCAAGCAAAGAGAAAAGTGGAGCAAAGGGAAACCAGGCTGAAGTGGCTAGCCAAGAAACGAAAGAGACTTACCTGCAGAAAATGGAGAAACTAAAAACGAGATTCCAGCCCCTGATGAAGCAGGAGGGAAAGAAGCTACGTCTGATTAATATCATACATACCATGTCTTATCAGTCATCCCTGTTCCCCTTCTTGTACAATCCAGAGGAGTACTTTGATCAACTATTTTATAAATGCAAGTTTTTTAGTAGCTCTAGAAACATTTTTAAGGAGAGACGCCCACTTCATCCCATTTCTTAAGTGTCAATGCTTTTTTTAAAGAGGTGAAATCATTTTCTTGTTATTTATTTATTTTTTGGTACAATCAGAAAATATTGGGGTATTGAATATGGGAGGCTTTGACTGCCTTGGGTATCAGCTCAACATTTCACAGATGGGGTAGTTTTTATATTCTACAGTACAAAGCATATTGAATGGCAATTGGGAGTCTGTCATGCATTTAATATGTCTTGAACATTAAAAAAAAAAATTGTTTCCTAAAGAAAACCACTCCTTGATCTTGACTCTCCCTGTCAGAATTTTGTAAGTTCTGTAACATCTTGGTTGGTTTTCCTAGTAACTTTGTTAACGTGCTGTGCAGGATTATAAATCTGTGTATGTAGTGTATATGATATTAAATTGTGAATTAATGGAACTTAATAATGTAACAGTGTGTCAACATTTGAAGATATTGATGCTTGATATACTGTTAAGGAAAATTTGCCTCCAAAGTTTAAGCTGGAAAGTCACTGGAATAACTTAGAAAAGAATCACAACTATATGATTTTTTTAGATTTTTGATATGTATGTTAAGAATTGTGTACAAATTGAGATGTCTTACTGGTCCTCAGCACAACCGATAAAAACTCAATTATGAAAGAAAAAAATCATCATCCTTTGAACATGAAAAAACACTGCCAGAAGAATCTAAGACATGCCACAAAGTAGGAATTATGCAGCAGAGTCAATCAACAAAGTACTTGCTCCAAAATACACTTCTATGAATCTACCAGGAAGTCAAACAACTTAGTAGGGAAATGAACTAAAGTAAGTAAATAAACAAACAAATAAAAAAAAAAAAGTAGGAAACACAACACAAATGGCTTGTGAGCACATGAAAAGATGGTCAGCATGAAAATCAAAACATAGTAAGTTACCATTTTACCCCAGAGTAGCAAAAAATTTCAAAGTCTGATAACAGCAAGTGTTAGCAAGGAAGTACAGCAACTGGAAATCCTGTACCCTGCTGGAGAATGCAAATTGGGACAATCAAGTTGGAAAGTTGTTTGACATTATCTAGCAAAATTGCAGACATATATACTCTATAACCCAGTAATTTTATTCCAAAGCTGATGTAATCAGGAGACATGAATAAGAATGCCCATAGTAGCTTTGATTAGAATTGTTAAAAATGGAAACAACCCAAAAGTCCATGTGTAACAGAATGGCTAAAAGAGGACTCCTACTGATACAATGAAATACTGCCTACATATATAAATGAATGTGCTGCCACTCTGTGCTTCAACAGGCAAGTAATGACAACAATATGTTCAGTATGATTCCATTTAGATCAATTTACAAAAAGAAAATTCAACCACATTGCTTAGGGAGGAATATGTAGGTGGTAAAACCATAAATAAGTACAGTAAAACCTTGGATTGCGAGTAACTTGTTTTGTGAGTGTTCCACAAACATTTCTAATATATTTTAACTTGATACACAGGCAATGTCTTGCAGTATGAGTGTTAGGTGATGCCAAATGTCACATGATCACAACTGAGCCAATGGTTCTTGAAGTTCACTTTGACATACAAGTGCTTTGGATTACAAGCATGTTTCTGGAGTGAATTATGCTCCCAAACCAGGATTTTACTGTACAAGGAAAAGATGATCACAACCATCACAATATTGGCCACATGGGAGCAGGTGAGTGGGAGATAATAGGGGGAGAGACAGGGGGAAATTCTAAGGAACAGCAGTGTTCCATTTCTGAACCTGAGTGGTAATATCCAAGCAAATCAGAGCTAGACAGTAAAGAGGTAAAAAAAAAAAAAATGTTACTCAGGACTATTGCAATCGGGGAAGAGATCTCAGTATAGAACCAGCTCAATTCCAAATACAGTGCGTAAAAGTGGGGATTTACAGCCAAGGAGCAGGGTGGAGGTCAGTGGATAGAAAATTACTAAGAGGAAACATCAGGGTTATGGAGGGATTCTGGCAAATCTGACCCAACAGGATTCTTGCTAAGGACAGGCCAATCTGATCAACCACTTAGGGGGGATAGTTGAGGACCAGGAACCCGAATAGATACCAAGAGTGATTGGATGTGGAGGATGGGGATTCTTACTAAATGGACTCAGCAGAGTTTTTGCTGAAACCGTATTTTATTTTTTTATTCTTTTTAATTTATTTTATTTTATTTTTTTTTAATGTTTATTTTTGAGACAGAGAGAGACAGAGCATGAATGGGGGAGGGTCAGAGAGAGGGAGACACAGAATCTGAAACAGGCTCCAGGCTCTGAGCTGTCAGCACAGACCCCGACGCGGGGCTTGAACTCACGGACCGCGAGATCATGACCCGAGCCGAAGTTGGCCGCTTAACCGACTGAGCCACCCAGGCGCCCCTGAAACCGTATTTTATAAGGAAGTGCCCAGATGGCCCTTTCTGAAGGCTCAGGAACTTGACTAAACCTTGGCCAAACAAAGAATCTTTGACAATAATTACATGGGTGTTTTCTTACAATTATTTTCAAAATGCAGATACATGTTTTATAGTCTTCTGTGCATAGGATACATTCCACAACGTAAAAAAAAAAAATACAATAGATTATTTAACTGGAAGATAGATGGAAGGGAGACCATTAGGTAAAGAAATTTATACGACATTATATTATGGTTCAGTGTTAGGCTTTTTAGCCTGTTTTTAATTCTCTTAGTCACATTTCAGTGATTTTTGGTATTCACCAATTTGATATTCATTGAGCTTTTCTGGTTGTGGGCACCCTTTTAGATGATGTGGAAGATCATGGTCTCTGCAGTCAAATCTCTGCTTAAAGTCTGGTAATGATGAGATCACTAACACAGTCAGGTAACTACAATGGTTCAAGTATGCAGATGGGGAGATTTGGAGGAGTGATTTCAGAGATGTGCACCAGATGGTCACTGAGCCAGAAGAGAGTCATGGCACTCCAGACCAAGAGAAAAAATAACCAAGGAAGGTAAGAAACAAGGAACTGACAGAACAGTCCAGCTGGTTTTGCTGGACTGTAAGATGCATACTGGGAAGTGGCAAGAAACTGGATTGCAGATGCATGCCTTATTAGGTGTATTTTTTGGAATTATGTTTGGTCACGGTGGATGAAATGTCCAAAATAACAGTGGCATGCAGACAGCAGGTCACTGCTTTGTCATATAAAACATGCGTGCATGTAGGTGGTGGCTGCTGTGATGCTCGACATGGAGGCCAGGGCCCAGACTCCCTCTGTGTACCGCTCCACGGTCCAAACACAGCTAATAATTAGCACAATGCAGGTCTTTAAAATAAAAGTGGTTTTATTATAAAATTCTAAAACTGTGCTTTAAAGGATGGTCACAGGAATACTGCATAAGAAGAAGAAACATATGTTCATAATTCAATCACATAGCAGACTTTATATTGTCCACAGAATCAATATTTAAAAAACATTCCTCTATGTCAGTTAAAAAGAGCCTTCAGAGCACCATTATTTGAAGGGAAGGTATTTTGCACATCAGAGTTCATCTTTGGTCTGCAATTAAGAAGCAAAATATTTAGTGTCATCAAGAAGTCTTATATGGTCAAGATAACTTACGTTAGTCTATTAATTATTTTCCCCTAAAGGTGGAAGCAGCGAAAAAGGCAAGTGGGCGCTAAAGGTTTGTAGGGCCTGGGACTATGCTCGGAATCCCTCCTGGGGAAAGTCACATTGTATTTTATCGGACTGCTGATGGGGAACACAAACATGTAAGTGTTTGCATTACTGTAAAGGGCTTTGTGTTATGTATCTTATCTGTGAAGGGCTACAGCAGACAAGGAGGAGGAAATTAACGAAGCCTCTAAGTCCACTGGTCAGTGTTGGCACTCCCCAGCATCACTCAGACAAAGATAAAAAATAAAAAAAGAGGACTGGAGAAAGGAAGCCGCCCAGTTTCATTTGGAGCCAACAGAAGTGTTATGATACCAAATCACAAATTTCATGAGCGGGTACATTTCAATCCTGGAAAATTTTTAAAAGATTTTATTTTTTAAGCATTTAATTTATTTTTTAAGTAATCTCTACACACAATGTGGGGTCAATCCAAGATCAAGAGTTGCAAGCTCTGCTGACTTAGGGTGCCCCGAAGTCTAGCAAGTTTTTTTTTTTTTTTTTTTTTTTTTTTTTTTTTTTTTTTTTTTTTTTTTTTGGTCAATGGCTTTAACTAATTTAATGAACTTCCAGCACTGACAAGCGTTAACACTGATGAAGAACCCTTTCTGGGTGGGGGTGAGGGGGTTGGTTAGTTACTTAGTGGCAAGTCTCTACTCCAAACAAAAAAAGGAAATAACCAAAACTGATTTGTAGCACCTGCTGTTGTCATGGTGACTCTCCCCCACCAGGCAGATTCCAAGGTACCAGAAATTAACTAGTGTGCAAAATTCCTAATATGTAACAGACAGTGAGCTTATATAAACTGATTCTATCATACCACTGGATAGTGGTCACTTAATTCGTTTCAAACCCCCTGTGAGTCAGGCATGGTAACTGCCAAATCTGCCTTCTCATTTTTGGTCACAATATCACAGTTTTGAGTTTGTTCTTTTAGAGACATGATGACATTGCTTAAAATAATATCAAGCCAATATATTACATATGTATACGTTTATGTAATGTATATGTATACATAGAGTGTAGAGATATACACTACAATTTTATATAGTATATATTCATTCAAACAAAAAGCATTACAATCAAAACAACCCTCCCCTGCCACATCATGTCTTTACACACAACCAGGCACACAATCTGGTGATGGAGACTAGTTCTTGGTCCTAGCCTTGCTATAATCCAGCTGGGTGGTTATGAGCTAAATTCTTCTTTAGGCTTCGTTTTTATAACCGTAAGATGAAGGCATTTCCTGGGTGACTCCTAAGGTCCCTTTTTTTTTTTTTTTAAATTTTTAAAAAATATTTTAGTAGGCTCTGTGCCCAACATGGGCCTCAAACTCACAACCCCAAGATGAAGAGTCGCACACTCCACTGACTGAGCCAGCCAGGCGCCCCCCTAAAAGGTCCTTTTAGACTTACAAGTCTGTGTAAATCTACCATTTGTTAATGAAATCAGTATATATTGGTGGTATGAACAGAGATTGCTCTTAAATGCGTAATCTGGTAATATATGAATAATCACGGTCATATATTTTTCATCTCTAAACTGAGATGATGAGTTTTGCCAAAGCCATCTCCCGTGACACATGTGAAAACACTTTTAAAATTATAAACCTCTATTCAAAGGCCATGTGAATTCTCACGTTAAAAGAAGGCTCTCCTCCACTTTGCCGGGGGCTCCTGGACTTCTCCCCTACCTGCATCTCGGTGCCCTTTCTCTGGCCATGTTGTTCCCACGGCATCTGCCCCTCCGGTAGACTGAAGGGCAGGCAGGCCCCCAGAGAAGCTCAAATAGTGGCTGCCCGACTGAAGGACTGAAGGGACGGATGAGGACTTGGAACAAGACTAGTTCTTGCTCTGCCACTGCCGGTTCGGGTTACCTGTTTCCTATGGCACGTGCAAGGAAAGAGGTCATCTTCAGTCTGTGCTTCTACCCTCTGCATGCCCTCTCGGATTTGGGGCTCACTCACTTGCAAATTGGCATATTCCTGTGGAAGCAACAAGTCAGAAGTGTGCCTTTTGTAACTCAGAGCACATCCACCAAATCAGATACAGTGGAATTTGCTAGGATATGGTCCTTTTAATTCATATGTGTCAAGTTGTGAGAAGCGAAATTCATCATACTCCCCTTAAACCCCCAATAACAGAATTTCTGAGAGGTGGCTGTCCTTTGGACACCAGCTGCTGATTGCTACTGCACCTCTCCTTATTCTATCCTTCATTTATTTATTTTTAATGTATTTATTTATTTATTTTTTTGAGGAAAGCCACACAGTAGCAGGGGGGGGGGGGTGGGAGGGGCAGAGAGAAGGGGAGGAGCAGAGGAGGGGCAGGGCAGAGAATCCAAAGCGAGCTCTGTGCTGACAGCAGAGAGCCCCCACTCAGGGCTCAAACTCACAAACTCACAAATTGAGATCATGGCCTGAGCCAAAGTCAGATGCTTAACTGAGCCACCCAGGTGCCCCCATCATTTATATGACTTGTACGGTTTTGGTTTTGCCAGCTTCTGCCTTGAAGTGAAAATAATTGTGCACACGGTCTGCCCTAGACTGGGAATTTGAGGCTAGAACATATTTCCACCATGGCTTGCACAGCTCGGCCACCACCTTGATCTATCATCCGCCTGCTGTTGTTAGGCTCTGGGCCAGGTGATGATGCTCTAGGAAATGTAATCCGAATGAGTGAGCACAAGCCTGTGGACCTTGAGGAATTCAGACAGTAAATCTTCCACTTCACCCTCTCCGTCCCTTCACCAGCCCCTGGGAAGGTTAGAAAGAGGGAGGAGCCAGTGCAGACCAGAAACAGATCAACTGTTCTGGAGTGGAGTCTAAGATTTGGGGCTCAATACCTGCAATTTTGAGATTAAAAAAAAATCTTAATTTAGATCTAGTAGTATCATTAGGAAATTACTTGTTACTACTGCATTTTTTATTTTTTTATCTTTAATTTTTTTTAACTATTGCATTTTTTATATTTTATTTTTTATTATCTTTAATTTTTTTTAACTACTGCATTTTTTAAAGTTTTTAGTATCTTTAAGTTTTTTTAACTACTGCATTTTTAAAATTTTTTATTCGCTTTAATTTTTTTAACTACTGCATTTTTTAAAAATACCCTTTTAAGTTGTCAGATATACTTTGATTATAATCCCTAAATGCTTAGGCCCATGAAAACAGTTTCCAAGAGAAGCCATGGCTCATATGGAGTCAGCAGTATAGGTCAGAAGACACTGGGCACTGTTTAGACAAAGAAATGGTAAAGATTGTACAAAGAGCAGGGGCGCCTGGGTGGCTCAGTCGGTTAAGCTGGTAAGCCTCTGACTTT